TGAGCACTCTCCCCTCCTGTTCTTTCTAGCAATTGGTATTATTATTATTATTATTATTATTATTATTATTATTATTCCCTGCCTTTCTGGCTGGGTTTCCCTACATTAACACATTAAAAACTTGCCTAAACAGGGCTGCCTTCAGATGTCTTCTAAAAGTCAGATAGTTGTTTATTTCCGTGACATCTGATGGGAGGGTGTTCCACGGGGAGGGTGCCACTACTGAGAAGGCCCTCTGCCTGGTTCCCTGTAACCTCACTTATCGCAGTGAGGGAATCGCCAGAAGGCCCTTGGAGCTGGACCACAGTGTCTGGGCTGAACGATGGGGGTCAACACCAGCACTTTGAATTGTGCTCGGAAACGTACCGGGAGCAAATGTAGGTTTTTCAGATCTTGGCGGCCACTCCCAGTCACCAGTCTAGCTGCCGCATTTTGGATTAGTTGTAGTTTCCGGGTCACCTTCAAAGGTAGCCCCACATAGAGTGCATTGCAGTAGTCCAAGCGAGAGATAACTAGAGCATGCACCACTCTGGTAAGGCAGTCTGTGGGCAGGTAGGGTCTCAGCCTGTGTACCAGATGGAGCTGGTAGATACCTGCCCTGGACACAGAATTGACCTGTGCCTCCATGTACAGCTGTGAGTCCAAAATGACTTCCAGGCTGCGCACCTGCTCCTTCAGGGGCACAGTTACCCCATTCAGGACCAGGGAGTCCTCCACACCCACCCACCCCCTGTCCCTCCAAAACAGTACTTCTGTCTTGTCAGGATTCAACCTCAATCTGTTAGCCACCATCCATTCTTCAACCACCTCCAGGCACGCACACAGGACATTCACCACCTTCACTGGTTCTGATTTAAAAGAGATACTGATGAACACCCAGCCCAAACCCCTAATGATCTCTCCCAGTGGCTTCATATACATGTTAAAAAGCATGGGGGAGAGGACGGAACCCTGAGGCACCCCACAAGTGAGAGTCCAGGGGACTGAACACTCATCCCCCAATACCACTTTCTGGACATGGCCCAGGAGGAAGGAGCAGAACCACTGTATAACAGTGCCCCCAGCTCCCAGCCCCTCTAGACGGTCCAGAAGGATGTCGTGGTTGATGGTAACAAAGGCCACTGAGATATCCAGCAGAACTAGGAAGCAGCTTTCACCTTTGTCCCTAGCTCACCAGAGATAATCCACCAGGATGACCAAGGCAGTTTCAGTCCCATGGTGAAGCCTGAATTCTGACTGGAAGGGATCCAAATGGTCTGCATCCTCCAGGCGTGCTTGGAGTTGTTCCGCAACCACCCACTCAATCACCTTGCCCAAAAATGGAAGACTTGAGACTGAGCGATAGTTGGCCATATCGGCAGGGTCCAAAGATTTTTATTAAGAATTGGTTTAATAACCGCCTCTTTCAGCGTGTCTGGGAAGGCTCCCTCACAGAGGGAAGCATTCACCACCCTGCAGAGCCCACTGCCCAGCTCTTCCCGGCTTGCTTTTATGATCCAGGATGGGCAAGGATCAAGGAGACAGGTGGGTTTCACTCGTCCAAGCAGCCTGTCCACATCCTCAGAGGTATCAGATTGGAAATGATCCCACACAACTTGACTAGACAGGACTCTAGCACTCTCCTGCCCCCACCCTGCTCCCATAGTGGAGTCTACCTCTTTCTGAATCTGAGCGACTTTATCTGCAAAAATCATTGCAGGAGATCTTGGGGGCCTTACCAGGCCCCAATGATGCGGGTGGTTTCGCTAAATTGTGAACCACCTGAAAGAGACTCGTGCTGCTGTTTTCTGCAGATGCAATAGAGGCGGTGCCATCGCTATCACCATTTGGTAGGCTCAGTGTTGAGCTCTAACCTGTGTCCGGTCAGATTCAGAATGAATTTTCCACCACAGGCACTCTAGCCATCTCAGCAATTGTTTCATCACCCTCAGCTCTGGGTATTCAGGAGCACAGCTGCTTTCAACCATGGAGGCAGAGCACAGCTGGCGTGGCTAATAGCCATTGATAGCCTTTTCCTCCATGAATTTGTCCAATCCTCTTTTAAAGCCAACCAAATTGGTGGCTATCCTGTGGGTGCAAATTCCATAGTTTAACTGTGTGCTGCATGAAGGGCTTTCTTTTTATCTGTCCTGAATCTTCCAGCTAGAATCTATGCTTGACAGGGCCTTTTTCGGGGCAGCCCCAAGTGTCTAAATTACAGAACATAAGGAAATAGGAAGGGCCTGCTGGCCTAATCCAGTATCCTGTCCTCACAATGGCCAACCAGATTCTCCAATGGGAATGCCATAAGCAGTTCCCAAGCACAAGAGCACCCCTCCTCTCCCTCTAACAACTGCTACTGAACTGGTATGGCAGGGCAGGGCAATAACATACAGCTTCCCTCCTCATAATGCCAGCTCATGACATGTGACAGAGCTCAACCTGGCTGCATACACACATGGCATCTAGCAGAGCCTTTCCCTCAACCTGGCGATTTCCAGGCAGATATACTGGCTGGAGCTGATGTAAGTTATAGTCCATTCAACCATTGGCTAGAACCAGCTGTGGAGGAGGAATGTGCACTTCTGTTCCAAGTGTGTGTGTGTGTGTGTGTGTGTGTGTGTGTGTGTGTGTGTGTTTAAGCATGGCTCTCAACCAGCCCAAACAAACCACAGGCTAGAATTTCAATATCAAAACCTGGCACAATGCACCACAGATTTTGCAATGGCATCTCTGCCCCCAAAACTCCCTTGCTGTTCTGGTATAGCAAGCCATCACTTGCCAGCATATCTGAAGCCAAGATCTCCTGTGGAATCAAATCCCCTTTCCAGCTATTTGCCCAGTTAAACCAAGTTCAGCTCAGCAGGTTGTAAAAGGAAGATGGAAGCATGCCCCTCCTGTGTTCATGACAGCCAGAGTCATGTAGTGCTCAGAGTGTGGGGACTGCAAGACCAGGGTTCAAATTCACATTCAGCCATAGAACCATAGAACTGCAGAGTTGGAAGGGATGCTGAAGTCTTCTAGTACAATCCCCTTGCAATGCAGGAATATCAACTAAAGCATCCATGACAGATGGCCATCCCAACCTCTGCTTCAAAGCTTCCAATGAAGGCGACTCCACCACCTTCCAAGGGAGTCTGGATTTGCAGGCAGAAATAAAAGGCACCCACAAACACTACTCAGTCACTTCAAAAGTAAGTGCCACAAAAATCCTGAACCCTGCCCATGAGAATTTCACTGCATTTTTTCTCTCCCCATTGATAACATTTGAAGGCAGCATTTTTCATCAATTGATGGAGCATTTGAAGCCCCGCATTGGGCAAAAGGTCCCTGCATTGCTGGGGGTTGGACTAGATGACTCTTATGGTCCCTTCCAGCTCTGCAATTCTGTGAAAGAGGCTTCTGTGAAAGAGGAAAAGCCCAGGATAAGTTTTTGACACAGCACTAACCTATTACCCATTGTATTGCCTTCTGGCAAAGTGACGTCTTAGCAGCCAGGCACTGAGCCCAAAGGAATCTGTTTGCTATTTAGCTAAACTGTGCAAAATTTGGATTAAATGAATAAAATTCCAGGCATGTCATGGAAATTAACCACATAGGCATGATTTATTCTAATTTAGCTGGCAGTTAGGACCTAACAATCATGTAGTCATCTTTGTAACCATGAGAGCTAGCCACTTGAGTTTGGTTTTAAATAAAAACAGGAGATTTTTCAGGAAGCTTAGGTTTTTCCTACAGCTATGTCTAGTTCCATTTCATGGAGCTTCCCCTTTTTATCAACAGTGGAGCAGACTAGCTGGTGAACAAGGGGTTGGACTACCCTCGGGGTCCCTTTCAACTCTACAATTCTATGATTCTATCCATAATTCCATTGTATTCCATTTCTGCACTGATCTGCAAATTATTTCTTTAAAAAATACGGGAAACACATATTTGAAAGCATTTCGCACCTCCCCCCAAAACATTTTAATATGTGTTCTTTTATATATTCAGTTTGGTGCACAGAAGAATCTGCACCCTTAATCCGAGAAGGGCAAATCGGGTAACTTTGTATCTGTGTTTCATGAACAAGGAATTCAATGGATATTACTCCAATCCAGCAATCACTATTATGGAATGTGGCAGGGGCTGTCTTTCCAAGGTAAAATGTCAAGATGTCTTCAGATTAAATAAATCCCAAGCAATTGGGTGTTTTTTTTTAAGTGTTTCCTGTTTTTTCTTTTTGGAATATTGGCTAATTCATTAATTCAGTTAATTCATTAAATCTGGATATGGAGTTTCCCTTTTTTAAAAACAAACAAACTTTGATTTTAAGCTGATACAGAAAGTTTGCCACAGTTGGCGACGTGTTAGGAAATGTGCTCTCTCTCTCTCTCTCTCTCTCTCTCTCTCTCTCTCTCTGACTCTTTGTCATCTACGTTTTCTGGTTTGAAAAATACTGTAATAAAAATAAATAAATAGCAGGCCCACTAATCAGGAGGCACCATTTTCGTTAAGACAGTTTCCGATATCCTACAAGAAATGGAGTAATAAAACACTGACTAAGGTTGTCAATCAGGGTCTGTCGATGGCAGCCCCATGGTGTAATCCAAGCTTCTCCTGTGTCCTCCACAATCCTTATGCTCAGCAGGGCAGAATGTCTTTACTAGGACCACTTCCAGGCTGTCACCACAAAGATTGGGCCCATTGCTGTTATGTGATGGTATAGAACCACAGAACTGTACAGCTGAAGGGATTCCCCCTAAGGCCATCTAGTCCAGCTCTCCACAATGCAGCAATCACAGCTAAAGAATCGCTGATAGATGGCCACCCAGCCTCTGTTCATTGGATGTCCATTGAATGAGGAAGTAAATATTTCCTACAACCCCAAGGTCTCATTCCTGGTCTGTCACTGTCAAATCAGACCCCATGAGAATAGATTTAAGGGGTTTTTTTGCCCCAGCATTCATCACTTTACACTTGTTTACACTGAATTGCACTTGCTGTATTACTACTCATTCATTCAGCTTCCAGACATTTTTGCCAAGTGGGATAGCTCAGTTGGTAGAGCATGAAATGCTTAATCTCAGGTTTGTGTGTTTGAGCCCCACTTTGGGTGAAAGGTTCCTGCATTGTAGGGGTTTGAACTAGATCATCTTCACGGTCCCTTCCAACTCTGTGATTCTGTGAAATGTCTTTTTAAATTAGTTGTGCCTTGGGCTTACCAATGTGGTGATATAAAACCAATAAATAAATATAAACAAATGTAAGCGAGTTCACTGGCAACCAGCTCAGGCAGCGCTCCCTGGATTTTGTGCAAATGCTCAAGTTGCAAGGTTTAGGGGTGGGGAGGAGAGAGGTTTAGTGTCGCATGGAGTGGCTGAGAGAGACCAACCATTGGAGAGGCCATCTGGGAGATCCCTGCTTGCTTAGTCATTCTGGGAAAACTGCCACATTCCACAGCACAAAAAACGCTCCATTGCTAAGCCAGAGAGGAGATGGGGGACTTTCTACAAGAATTTCACCTTTGGAATGGCCTCATAACCACGATTGCAAAGGCCCCCCCCCTCCAAATTCCTCAACTGCCTGCCTGCTTCGTTCCACTTAGCTACAACAAGAACTGAGCCTTATATGCTAAGAAGATGCTGCGATACAGAAGGCTGAAAAATTGCAATCAGAATGGCTGAGATAGATAGGGAGGTAGACAAGATAGGGAAGTATGTGGGGATATAGATAGGACATTGAGAGGGAGAGGGAGAGGGAGATCCATTGTTAGCCATACTCAGAATTGGGGAGCAGTGAATTTGTCAATTTCCATTTCTCCCCATTTCTCTTTTTTTTCCAGTTCAGTTCTCTGCATTTCAACACCAATTTGAGATTATTATTTTTTAAAAAGCTTCATGAGAATTCATAAAACAATTAAGAATACATCTGTCCATAATGGTTAGCTGATTTCCAGTTTTAACTTTCTTTATGTGTGTGTTTTTCTTGCATGGTTTAAATATAATTGTTGTTAAACCACTCTGATTGATTGATTGATTGATTGATTGATCGATTGATTGATTTTGCGCATTTTGCTGCAGATTTCTCCAAGGACATTTTAAAAATGCAATTTCCTCTAATATACACATAATTGCAAAGCAAGATTGCCTAAAATAGCAAACCTGAGTCCTGTCAGGGAAAAATGTGGGGTATAAATAAATAAATAAATTGTTATAGATTAAGGGTAAACCCTGGAAATTAATAAATTCTAGGATTGTGATTGCTTGGGTTGGGAAGGGAGAAATATAAGCTGCAGAGGAATTCCTGGGTAAATTGGCCAAGCAAGGGTCATTAAGGCAACAATAGAGGGCCATTGAGGGCCCATTGTGGGTGGTTGCCAATGCAAGAGAACTCTCCGCCCATCCCCACCCCCCACCCCCGCTCCCAGGTATGAACAGAGACAGGGGTTTGAAAGGTTACCAAAGTGATGGGGAGTGTTTGAGGGGACAGGAAAAAGGTTTTCTGGGAAGAAGAATGGGAGGAAAGAGCTGAGATCCATCTTGGAGGGAGGCAGCCTAAAGGTTGCCTTCAGTGCAGCCTCTGGAAATGTGTATGCAGTAACATCTGGACTCCCCCCATGCAAACTGAAGGTGTAAACTGGTGAATAAACCATAGTTCTCAAAGCATGACAGTCTCCACCGTGTCTTCCATTCTCCAAAGGGACATGGACCCTGGGTGTGTGCCTGAGACCTCATGGGCTCTTGCCACCGCTCAGGATAGAGAGAGGGGCCGGCACCCAGCTTTTGTAACACTGGTGTCAGTTGTGGGATCTGTGTTTCTGGAGAGAAGGCTAGGAGCGATGTGCGCCTGAAGTTGAAAATGGATGAGCAGTCCATGCTGATCCTGGAACAGTGCCAGGAGTGGGAAATGGAGGGGTACAGGCAGCAAAGTGTTGTTTTCAGTAACGTATGCATTTTTATGAACACTTTACATAAGGATATGCAGTTTTGTACACATTACCGGGGTGGGGGTTGTTTTGCTGTTCTATTTATTTATTTGTTACCCTGCATTTTATTCTGTGAACCACGCTGAGATATTATGATAAAGGGAAGTATATAAATCAAATGAATGAATGGAGAACTGCACTGCAAAACTCGGAAGCAGGCAAATTTCAAAGGATGGTTAATTTTTTTAAGGGAATACACACCTAAAAATAATTTTTCATGTGGATAATACACCACCACAACCAAAAAGAAACCCTGAAGTTTTAATTCAGAAATAGGAGAAAATATGGGTGAATGTGTGTTAAAGTGATACATGTGTGAGGGGGGGGGGACTGATTTGCTTACTCTTACTTTAGATTTTCTTAAGAATTAGAAAAGCAGTTCAAAAAGCCATGAAAGTATGTGCCAGAATAAATGCGATCACCTTCTAGATGACATTAATATTTATGTTCCATTGTTCCCATGCTACAGCTGGGATGCCTGAAGCTGTAAGGGAGAGGCTTGCACGATTTGAACCTGCCTTTCCTAGCTGGCAGCTCATATGAATTGTAGACACCATACACCCGCATCATTTGCCCGGTTTTAAAAGCAATTTTCAGGCAATCAATTACCGTATAAGAAAAGCCTGCTGGATCAGGCCAATGTCCCATCTAGTTCAGCACCCTGTCCTCACAGTGGCCAACCAGATGCCACAAAGGGAAGCCCACAAGCAGGACCTTGAGTGCAGCAGCAGCAACAACATTCTCCCCTGTTGCGATTTCCAGCAACAGGTATCATTCAGAGACATTGACTGCCTTTGATTGTGGAGGTGGAACAGAGCCATTGCGGCTAGTAGCCGCTGACAGCCTTCTCCCTGTATTTGTCCAGTCCTCTCTTTATGCCATTCAGGTTGGTGGCCTTCACTGCCTCCTGTGGGAGTTCCATATTTCAACTATGCACTGTGTGAATAAGTCCTTCCTCTGTCCTGAAACTTCCAACATTCAGCTTCATTGAATGCCCATGAGTTCTTGCATCACGAGAGAGGGAGAGTAACTGCATCTATGGAGTTGGTGCCCCTGATAGCATGGAGGCCTCCACCCTATGACCACACCATGCTTATCAGATGCTGAAGGATGTATCTAGATGTTCTCAGAATCCATACAGCTATGGGCCTGTTTCCTCCACCAACATCCTATTGACTGACAATGTAGTCAGAATCAAAAGGACACAAACAAACCAGTCCACATAAGGGAAATGTTTGGCTGTAGTTATGCCTGTTGTTAGACCACCAAGGTTAAAGAAATAAGGTGAAAAGCAGACTTTAATGAAGTGTCCATCAGGACCAGGGGGCATGGAGGGGACACCTTGACTTAATTGGAAAGTTCTGTGTTGAGTGGAAAAAGGACCACCCACAGCTACACTTTGGATGGATTCAGAGTCATTCTACGGGTACAATAAAGATGATCTTCTATACCTTGGAAAGAGGCTAACCATAAAGACAGTTTAAATGGCTAACAATATAAAATTACAGGGCCAGCTTGTCCTTTTGGGCAGAGAATAATTTTAAATGAGATGCATGAGGGGGATTGCAAGTTGCCCCCATGAAAAAAATCCATAAGCCTCAACAGAAACTTTTTCCTTCCTTGGAAATGCCTAAGCCTTCAATCTTAACTCAGTATTTTGCCAGTGATCTCTAACTGTGATGATCCTACCCCAAATCTAAATTGTCCTTATTCGTAACATCACTGTTATGCGGTGTGACTATTCACTGCAAGGATCAAGCAGGAAATATTTCTGCACCACCGAAACTACTCTTTTTAAAACCCAGAATCAAACTGAAAGAGTATTTCATACAGGCATAAAACTTTTGATTTCCCTTGAAATTCCTCAGCCATGCAGAAACTTAGAGAAATCGGGGAGGGCCTTGGCTCAGTGGTTAAGAACATCTGTTTGCATGCAGAAGGCCCCTGGTTCAGTCCCCACTGGCATCTCCAGAGAGGGCTGGGAAAGACACCCCCTGTCTGAAACACTTTGGATTATCTGATTCAAGTTGGATAAAAGACCAGGACCACATCAGGATCAGGATCATAGGATTGTAGAGCTGGAAGGGACCCTGAGAATCATCTAGTCCAGTGATGGCCAAAACCTGGCCCTCCAGCTGTTTTGGGACTACAATTCCCATCATCCCTGACCACTGGTCCTGTTAGCTGGGGATGATGGGAGTTGTAGTCCCAAAACAGCTGGAGGGCCAAATTTGGCCATTACTGATCCAGTCCAACCCCCTGCAATACAGGAAGCATAGGAAGAGCCCTGTTTGATCAGGCCAAAGTGCCCAGCGTCTTGTTCTCACAGTGGCCAGATGTTTCAATGGGAAGCTCGCAAGCAGGACCTGAGCACAAGAGGAGCTCTCCCCTCATGCGTTTACCAACAACTGGTGTTCAAAAGCATTGTGGCAAGCAATGCTCCTCCATGCATTTGTCTAATCCCCCTTTAAAGCCATCCAAGATGGTGGCAATGACTACTTTCTGTGGGAGTTCCACAGTTGAACTATGTACTGCATCACGGCATGAAGAAGCCTTTTCTTTATTTATTTACTTCTGTTAAGTCTGGGAGGCCCCCCCCCCAACTTAAGCATTTTCTTTCAAAGACAGGATGTTAAATCAGATGTGCAGGCACTCCCATGGCCCAGAGTGACTCTTCACAGGGAACTTCTGGCACCTTTTGTGTGTGAAACACAAAACTGGCTGACACCGCCAGCCTGTAGAGGGAGCTGGCAGCCGCCTCCACTGCTTAAACTGACTTTTGTAAAATCAAATGAAAAACTCACGCTTAACAAGCAAAGCCTTTTTCCAGCTTTGCTTGCCCTCGGGTAAAAACCACCACTTTTTAGATTTCACAGATGCAGGGAGCAAAGTCAAGTGACGGAGTTCTGCCCAACAGAAAATGACTGGAAATTTCGATTTACAATCTAGGCTGTTTTCTTACCCAATCTGTGTGCAAAATAAACTACTTGGACTCGGTGTTCTCTTGCTGCAGATGAGCATTGGACTTGTTTCCCTGGTCTAGGGTGCCAGGTTTTTAATTTAACTTGCAAAATCCACCCTTTTCTGCTACTCACTTCAACAGAACAGGCAGCTCCATAAGCAAAGGATGG